CCAGAGTACAAACTCGGTTTCGTGAGTCTTTCGGTAACTCGAAGAAGCGCACGGTGGAGAGTAGAAAGCTTTAGAAGGGGAGAGCTGATTTAAGATTCCCATGCACATTCAAGGCAGCACACTTTCCATGCAAATGGTTTTCTCTGAAATAGACGGAATCATGTCGTCATGGGGAAGATTAGGTGAAACGTGAAGAGGTGAGCAGGTACATAATTGTCTGTCTTCATTAAATGTCAAGACTTTCCACGGCACTCACAACATACGTTTTGCCAACTTTCCTGATCGACGATGAACTTATGTCTCGGTAACAAGCCGTAATTAGACACATGACGGCAAACCGAGCGCTTTAGTTGTTTCACATTCATCAATGCTCGTGCTTTCCATGCAAAGAAATCGTCGAAGTCGGTCCCAATGCTTCCGTCTAACCTGACACGGAGCATAATGCAGTGCATGAAGAAAAAGAGACATTTGTGGACGCCATAGTCTCCTCCTCCACAATATCAAATGGCCGACGAGAAAATCCGAGCCTGAGCACGGGCGAACATGAACCTTGAGTATTTTCGTGTCGTCGTTGCGTAACAATCCGACTCGATCGACGGATGCGGACTTCACCGACTCTCTCACACCTTTGTACGATCTGAATTGTCCGACCCACGACATCCGATTCCCATAAAGGCCTCGTCCTCTGCTTCCACCTGATCCTTTTGCCACCAGAGCGCTTGCAACTCTCAGCCTCGTCAACCATTTTTCATATATGCTAATTTATTTATGTGTTTGTGAACCAGAGCAGCCGCAAGCACGAGGGGATCTACTGCCGAGAACAACGACGATGGTACCAGATTATCTGCCTTACAGAATTCCAATGTCGGTTTCGGTGAACATTGCCTTCCTCAGTCTGCTAGAAATTCCTCAACTTAAGGTGCAAAGAAGAATGAGCTCATGTCATCTCCAGTGTGGAGGTCTGTGGACAATTCCTTTTGATTAAAAGACGACCCGGGGCATTTTAGATCATATTATCTAAAATAATCATTATTTTAGTTCATATGATCATGGGATCATATTGCTCTCCCGTTTCATATATTTTTTACTATGACTCACATTTATAAGTACGTTGTACGCCGAACTTTGGTCTCAGTAATTTGGTCTACTATGAAAAAAGTCACAACTTCACATATCCAGAATGAATCAATGCCTTCTTGAAATAATTATTTTGGGAATGTTGTGATGAAATATTTCACTTTTCAATTCCGAGATGCTGTAATCTATACTGAGAAAGTTAATTTCACATAAATTCATGTCAACTCAAATATTTCGTGTGGAATAAGTCTTAAACTTTTGAACACCATCCAGAGTGACTTGGTTTATCGATGATACTTTTACGAAGAGAAAAGAACTGCACTAGAGATCATGGACGAGTCATACATTTTCCAAAGTGTGATAAGAACTGAGTCCAAGGTTTCAAGATTTCTAAAATATAGTGTAAATAAATTGCCTTCATAACATTGTAAGACTAGATTCAAGAGTTTAGATTGAAATCTAGATACTCTTGAAAGTACCAAAGCAATGATTCAAGAATTTCAAAATTATCTTGAGACAAAGTTTGAGATGCAACGGCAAAAGAGGGATACACATCAACGCATAAAAGAAAGAAGAAAGTCCTCATGATACGAAATTTAGGCTAAACTGCAACTTAGATTTAGCTTTAGTTAAAATCTTTTTATAACTGAGCCTAAATCATATATCAAGGTAAGCTTGAAACCATGGGTGGCTCATAAACAAAAATTAGTGAGCAATATATTGTATATCAGAGTTCCATTGCAACGGCAAGAGGGGTTCATGAGAATGGTCCAGAGCTCAGAGTTGAAACTCGAAGAGTTAGAAGTCTACTCAAGTAAGAAGCTTTGTAAAACAAACCTATATGAGAATTATATCACATCGGACAGAGCTAGCAAGGTGGATAAAATCATCTGAATTCTCGTCACTCCACTTTCCATCTAATTGGAAAAACTTCATTCAACTTATCATTGCGTTCAAAGTTTATATTCTTCAATCCACAAGTCATACAAACCCCTCTCCACTTTTTTGCCATTCAAGGTTTCTCCCTACCTCACGAACTTGTGTCCCTCAATGCTCTTGTTACCGCGACTTTTTATTAATCACCATTGCTTCTGTCACCGTGATCTTTAAAACACATTGAATGTTCGTGCTTCGACAATTCGGGTTTGTGATTGTTTCGCCTAAACTTGTAGTCTGGAGAAGTGAGGATGACTCGAGTTGTGATCTTCAACTAGAAGTTATGTTACTACACTCCATCGCAAACATCTCTACTTCATGGCTTGGCGAAATAATTTCCCACAATACAATTCAGAGGGAACACCCGCTGAATTTGTATCGAGTGGTGTCATGAAATATACAGTCGATGGAGGAAACGGAGATATCGATGGAAGATGGAGATTTTGGTGTGTTCCCCCGACCCCTTATCATTCTAGGATGTTGCAGCGTCCGCTTGTCGATGCGAAACGCAAGGATATGGGGTCCGAAGATAGCAGCAAAGACTTGAACTAAGAGCTGGCCTAAGTCTTCTTGAACTTTGTCGACTGCTGTAGGACCTCTATCAGTCACTAGCATCCATAACATAACTCCAAGCTTTGAGATATTACTCCCTTTTCGGGATCAAGTTTTGGTGTAGTCATGCACCATGTCGTGCACGTCTCCATAGTTATGTGTCAGAGCTCTTGGTGTGTTTGTGAAATTGTTGGTGACATGACAGTGCCCACATTCGCTGTGGACTCCCTCCTCCACTTGGGCTCCTTCTATGACTGATCAAGTCGATTCGTCGTTCTTGGTAGATGTGTGAAGACATAGATGAGTGCACGCTGATGTCTTGCCACTGCCGTGGGTGGGGATTTCCTGCTTGCTGTGCAGCTGTTGGACTGTACTGCCTTAACTTTTTCCAAGTGTGAGAGTTCGACAATCATTTCCAATCTAGTACACTGTGACTAAAATTGACTTTAAAGGGATGGTTTGATGGCGATGCCTTTCGGAGTGAGTTCTTCTCTGGTCACCGTAGACTCTCCAGGTGTTACATTCTCCGAGGTTGGCTTCAGTAGGATGAATGAATCCCTGTGATTTACTTTGTTGCGATATTTTGCGAAGATTCATGTTTAGAGCCACTCTCGCAAAATGTTCGAAGAGTTAGAAAATTTAAAGCCTCCGGTGATCGCGATCAACGCAAGCTCAACGCACCAAGAGCCCATCCCTTTCCCCCCGGCCTTCCTGCTATCTACAGGTATGATCACTTTGAGGAGACTGGCTTTCGATTGTACCAAGAAGTCAAGGACTGACATACAGACGATCTGTCATATTGAAGACAAAGTCCTCACGACAGAACTCATGGCATGGAATTCGAGTCTTCAAGTGGATGAAAGATGGAAGGATATCATGAAAGGACATCGCTCACAAGTACATGAGCACAAGACGGTGCCTTATTCTCGAAAAGAACGAGATGACTCTTGAGCACAATGAACATAAAGGTTGAAGTTTCTCTGCTGTAAAGGCAGCGGAGACAGTGACCTACGACGTATCAAAGATATCCATGTTTACGTCACAGGAAGTTACGTTTGGTGCTCTCTCCTGCAGCACTGCAAGCGATATTCCAATTGGTCACATAATGCCAAAAGAATGGGTTGGGTAGCGATTCACGCATATTCTCCCGGTGATGATCATCATGGAAAGTACCTTTGGTGACGACATGACGAGAATACAGTACAGCACACTCAGATTGTCTTCAAACTCATTTCAGGTCTCGATGGTGAGATACGAAAGAACATTGTACGCGAGTAGGTCTCACTTGTGAAGCGGATAAATCCACATATGTACGAACGATAGCTCAGGTTCAGTAAGCCCCATCAGAAGTGTAGAACAGATCACTTGTGAAGGCAGATGCCAAAACTCCTTCACTTTGCACGGATTAACATGTAAATGTACATGCCAGGCCCATTCAAGTCTATGTGAATGCTGAGTCGACGGTGCACCCATTTGCATGGGACTCCTTTCATCGCTGGTTTTGATGATAGTTTGCATGTGCAAACAAAAATTTAGACACTGGAAAACCTCTATGCCATCGAGAGGCTTCTCTTTTTTCTGTAAAGCTGTTACATACAGGTTTCCTGGACTCCACCTCACAGGGTGTGTAACTGTAACAGAGAGAGAAATCCTCGAAATCATCGACATTTTCTCATCTTTTCTCCTCTGCATGTGAAATCACATCCTTTTTCTACACCCTGCTGAGATTCAGGGACATCAGCCTATCTAAGACCGACACTCTGCCGAGGTGCCATCATACATGAGGATTGGGACGCCAGTGTACATTCCGATCCCGGTGACGTTGCCTTGCGAATCGAGAGGCTCCTTCGCATGCTGCTTTCGCCGAGTACGGTGGACAGGTGACAAGCCTTTACGCTTCTGACGTGCCGTTCCTTCTGTTCTCCGAGGATTCTGCTGGAATTGGCACACGGGCTGGTTCCCTTGCTACCGTCATCGCCGTGTTCCACCATCGCCTTAGAGAAGCCACAGCTAAAGTTGAGTATGAATGCTGGACCAGGACCGAGAGCAGTAGTTGTCCTCGCAGTCCTCGCAGTCCCCGTTGTTCCAGACCATGACACCATTGTGCCAGTTCCAGGTTATGGAGGCACGTGGTTTCAGCAATCCATAACGACTCTGGAAAAACGGTGGGACTGTACTCGAACAACCTATCAGACGCTTAGCGCTATTATTTTGGTTCTACAGGCCAATCCATGTTCAGCCTGGCTTGATGGTGACAGCTACTATTCTAAGTAATATACAAGCACAACAGTGAATTCTACGTTCTATGTGCTTCACTTCAACCTAAATCGTTCCTAACCAGTGAAGTTTCGGAGCAGCATCACATTCCCTGTTCACTGACAAGATGGTGTCAAGCTGTGATGCAATCCGGTACATCGTGTTCATAGACTACCGCATCGAAAGGTCTATCCGAGTCTGTAACGAAGTCCTGGCGGCGTAGAACTTAGATTGAGTCATCGTAGTATCCTGGTATGTCATGTAGTAATGAAACTGTTGGCAATTAACAAACCCCTCGGGCGGAGGACCTGTCAGCAATCGGCCGCATGGATATGTCCTTGTTGCACCATCTGCAAAGGCCGCTACGCTGACATGCTCTTATTCAAACTGTAAATCAGCAATAGTCTGGCGAAGATAGAGAGTTTTTACACCTGGATCTTGCGGAGGGAATTGTGGTCTGCATGTAACACTGCGGGATCAAGAGAATCAGAATCTGGTGGTGACAGGCAGAGGTCAACTATGCGTGGACGGGAAGTGGTTGCCTCGAGGTTTTGATTTCCAAACCGTTCTTCCGCGCACAATCTCCGCTGAGCCTTCTTGCAGCTTCAACAGATGTGTGAATCGAGGAAGCCGGTCCGACTCTTGAATCAAGGTCCTCGGAGTATCTGCTCGCAGCATTGAAACGCCATTCGGGGACCTTGATAGGTACGGAAAGTTGGGGTCAACGGACTCGGCTGGCCTCGTCCCATTCACAATTTGAGTGGAACCCGCAGAAGCTGGTGACATGTCCTCGGGGTTGGTCAGAGATTGAACGACATCGGCCTGCCCGCATTCCCTTCGATATTCCAGAGTGATGCTCTTGATTTCGAGATTCTCGAGATATGCGGCGGGGACACTCTGCAGACAAAAAAGTTCAGCATGTACACAGCGCATGAGATTAAAGTGGAACGAAGTAAGTTTAGCAAGAATCAAATCGTGCATGAATGAAACCCAAGGGCTAGGATGGGGCTAGGCCCCATACACAGGCTCGAAGTACTCTCATGAATTCAATCTGCAAGCAGGACCTAGTCTCGAAGTAAAACTCGCTTTGGTCGAAGACGTGTCTACCCAGCTCAATGCCCAACATTCAGAGCCGCAGTCACGCAGTAAATCCGGAAGGCAGAAATATACCTCCATCATCCAGGCGATGTACTTGACATTATTTACATGTTGATTCATGTCCAAGTCACTGCGCCGTGCCTGCAGAAATTTTTTATGGTCCGTGAGATCAGACTGCCTTCTGCAGTCATGATTACCGAAATATTTTGAAGACTCTTTCTGTACGAATGTAGAGATTATGCACGTCTTCGATAAACAGATCTTAAGAAGCAAACGCGAAGTACCTGCAAACCCGAGGAGACGTAAAGCGCCGAGTCGTTTTGAAGCTTGTTGATCTTCATCGAACCTTCGTTTGGGACTGCGTGACGGTCTAAGAAAAACGAGGAAATCTCGGCCCGAACATCATCGGGCATCTTGGACAGCCTTCGAGTTTGCTGGTGCATCATAACCCAAGTGCTGCATGCACAAGCAAGAAAATCATAACGAATGTCACTGATACAGCGTGCAGTGCAGGCAAGCTTGACGGCTAGAACGACGTCGATTAGCCACCACCACCGTTTCATGTTCCGAAAGCTTGACAGCAGCAGCTTCCTTCTCAAAGTGGATCGGCTGTACCAAATTCTTACCTCGTGGCCCGCGCTAGAATCTGGCCTGTCTTCACGTCACGCAACATCCAGTCGCGGCGCATGCCGTTTTTGCCAGACGAAGCAACCCATGAGTCGACCTCGACGATGTCACCCCTGATATGGCAGCATCATGATTGCGCGGTCAACATGTAATCAAAATGTCGAGACCGCAAGCGAGTGCCAGTCAAAGTAACAATTGTCCTACTTAAGGAGCTTCTAAACTCACAATATCACATTACGATTCGGCAACAAAAGAGCAGATTGTTAACACGCCTTGTCAATTATTAGCGTCAAAGGTTTTACCAGGCAGGGTAGGATTCCACTTCCACGTGCATACGATTGACAACCCAGATCAGCCCATTCCGAACCATGGCTTTCGTAGTACCGAATCCATCTCCTTCAATTCCGGACAAACGCACATGATTTAAAGCTGTCTCCTGCTCAAATAGACACAGCACCACAACCGCCTTGTTCATGTGAGATGGGTCTGTCATGTAAAGCAATTGAGGTCGAAAGAAAAGGAAAGAATTGAATTGTCTGAACTCTCATCTTGGTCAGTATTCCTAACATTGAAAATGTCTTTAATTATGTGTGAAGGCCAACAACTGGTACCAGCAGCATTCTTTGGCTGGCTCGTGAGAGACTCCACAGGTCCATGCCATCTGAAGTTATAAAGTCCTCTTACCTGAAACAGATTCATCAGTGTCTCGATGGACGCAGTTTTGTCAGCTCCAACTTCGTAGGACCGAATGACAAAAGTTTGGCGATACAGGAGGAGATTCTCCATCATTCGTCCTTGTGTGACAGAATCCGTCAGAACGGGCTTCTCAAGGGTTCCAGGACGCGAGACGACGGCCAAAATGCCACGAAGAACTGATTCACTGTGAGAAGGAAGAAGAGCCATTCCTCCGCTGATTTGACGAATGGGTTCAGCAAGAGTCGAGTTGCTGAGAACCATGCTCCCACCTGCCTTGCTGATCTTGAGGAGCTCGTCCACCAGACCGTCCACAAGTCCAGCGCGCGCAGAGTGGTCGTAACAACCTTCGCGCGGCGGGTGCGTCGTCGTCGAGCGGCCGACGTGCAGAGCCTTTCCTGTCATGAATTTCTTACTGCCGAATTCAGGCACGAAGCTTCGAGTCCGAACTCTGGCTGTCCAACCTGCGACGCTGAGGGCGACATTCGGAAGAGGCAAGGCGCAACACCTGGCCGCTGCTGCAGCGTCCATCGTATACCCAAACTGCAACCTGGGACGACGACCGGGACCTTCTCCGGGAGAACGAGCGAGCTTAACCTTCCGCAATTCTCCAAGACTACCACAGCATCGCACACCCGAAGCCTTCGTCGAGCAGCAGACTCCGATTTCAGAGAACCATCAATGACAGTACCTCGACGGGCTGCTGCCACTTGTATTGTCCGGCCCCGGACTCGACCTCGAATCGACGCACGACGCTGATGCCGCCCTCGCAAGGCGTCCGACGCCGAGGCAAGAACTGCAGAACTGGACGCTGCGCAGTCCGAATTCTGACCAGCTCGATTCACGTCACTGCACGCTTTGTGCTCATGCAGGCCTCGGAGCCGACCTCGGACCGACAGTCAAGCAACGAGAAGGGAGCCAGCGGTCGGAGAGAGAGACGCGGGCGGTCAGATTGGACGACGCGCTAGCTAGTATTGGAGCTACGGTTGCGCGGGGTGTGGGGGCGCGGGGATGGAGGCGCGGGGGTGGGCGCGGGGTGGGCGCGGGGTGGGCGGGGGGAGGGGGGAGGGGGGAGGGGAGCTTTCTTTGATGAGACTTGGGTTAAATTGGGTTTGCAGGAAACTACGGACGAGTATATATACGAGAGCGCAAGACGATCGATCGACACTTTTGGCGGCTGCCACCTGTCCTCCTCCCACGCGTCCCAAGGACCAAAGCGCGACAATTAATGCCACCGCCCCCGACGACTTGTGCCGAGACAGGCAGGGTCCCTGACTCCTGCGGTCGTCGCCAAAGTCCCCCAGGTCTCTCTCTCTCTCTCTCTCGCCCTCCTATACCCGACTGCTCTCCTCTCCTCGTACTAGAACATGGAGTCAAACGTCGATGCGCGTACGCTTCACCCCGCCATTTGCATGATTCTCCCTCAGGCGCTATGACCGTGACGCGACCACCTTTTACCGCCGGTCAATCTGTAAAACCATCCGAGGGCTTGAGCTGCAGGCGGTTCTTCTGAAGCTGCTCTAACTTAGGTCTCGCGATCGCTCCTCACTGTAAGACTCAGTTGGCGGCACGTCGAGGGTCCGCTCTCCTCTAAGAACGTCGCTACTTTTGGCCCCGCCCCATTCTTCAGGAGAACAAAGGCTGCGAATGATTGATCAGACGGCTCGTTGTCGTTGGCGATTTCCCGAGGACTTCGAGCCCGGATTTTGCAGAGTGCGCAGCACAAAGGTCGGAGAGCTGTGACCTGCCGGTATGACATCATGACCCCCTCGTCCCGTACGTACGTCCTTTCGCGTCCGGTTTGCCCGGTTCGCGGTTCCCTGAATAGAGGAGATGATTAATAACCTTCGTCGATTATATCACGAGTATTTCTCTAATCCTACCCACAGTAGGCGGTCATCTGAACATTCATTGACCTGTGAGAGACCGCTGCTCGGGCCCTGTCGGAACTCAGCGACTCCGGTTTAGTCGTCGCCGAAGGCCACCGGGGGCGACGAAGGAACCCTCTCTCTTCGCAGAGCGGAAGCCAACTGGGTCCCACCACCGAACACCACCGAGGCTTTGGCCAACGTCGCGAGTCGAAGAGACCGGAAGGTGATGTGTCAGGGCGGTTCAAATGGCTCGGCTCCGGATTCCCTTGACGGCTTAGAATATTCCACGATATTTCGTCGGAGGCTCGGTAGCGTCCGTCCATGTAGGTGTGGGCTGACTGGCTGACGACCAGGTGCCTTTCCCACCCTCGATCGTCAGGCAAGCACAGTCACGAGCAGAGGGCTTCGGAAGGGCTGTTAACCCGTGTGTCAGGTTAGCTGTCACCAGGCACGTCAAAGCAGTCAAAACCCTTCCGGACCCGTCCTCGGCAGAGACTAATGTTTTTTTCGTTGTGGCATGTTCTTACCGGTTTTCAACATATCTGTGACCTGCTGTAAAAGGTTACGACGATGAGCTTGAACCTTCCGTTCCCGGTCACTGCTTATTGCTGTACTGAATTACAGTACAAAGCAGTTGCTTTTCCATCGTGCCGGATGTACACTGCGTGCCTGCCATGTGATTCCTCCTTCAGGGGAATTCAGGACATTCCCAGCTATCTTCCAGCAGGTGCTGCTGCTCGCTCGCGTCTGGGACAGCTCTGTCGTGTTTCCCGTAGCATGTCCTTTGGGATTTACGCAGATTGTGGGGGCTCTGTTCGTTGTGCAAGCGCTATTGTTCACAGCCCACATCTTCTTATTCCTTCTGCGTTCCTCCAGAGCTCCTACTCTCTTCCCGCAGAGGCCTTCGAATCTCTAAGAATATATAGTCTGCACGACAACGAGCGTGTCCTTCTCCTGGAGGATAATCTGGATTACAGCATGATTAAATCGTACCATTACGCTTTCGAGTATAGGAGTATACATTTAAAAAATGCACATAGAGGGTTGGTATCATTTTTAAACCAATAAGAAATATGGAGTTCATAAGTCGAGATGATATATAAAATATTTGGCATTTATAGCGAGTAGATTTTAGTTACAGTATGACATTCAACTATCGTGACTCTATTGGTGGTTACAGTCTTATGTTACCGTTTAGTTTTGTCATTATATGCCTTCGTAAAATATTTCCGTTCTTTTTGTTGTAGTACTCGGTGTCCCAATTGGGGTAAAGAGATCAGCTTCCAGCAAGCATTGCCGTGCTAGAATCACTACACGTTAGACTTAAATGAGAATGGTGACGACAAGTGCCGAGGCACATTCAAGCACTCGGAGCTTACGCCATTCTGTAAGTCACGAGATTGTGGAGAGAATCATCCATATATGACCTGGTTTTGGCATATTTGTTCCCCACTTTTATCGAGAATTTACTTGAAACACTTAGCTGATCAAGCTCGTATGGAAAGCTCTTGGTCAATCAATATGAGATCACCCAGAACAAAACATCTGTTCATATGCACACAAAGATGGTGATGATCTGTACGAGTAGAAATAAGAGCGTCCTCATAATGAGTGTCTAGTCACAAACAGTCGATAAATGAGTAAGATGTCCAATTTTTGAAAGTTTAAATAAAATATCAAGGCATAGATTTTACACTGCCAAAGCGAAGTTGAAAAGCATGTGTTGTCCTTATAGAAAACTCATTAATATCATGTAAATGAATAAGCCAAGTCAATAAAAGCGGAGGAAAGGTAAAGCAGAAAATAAAAGCGGTTATCATGCAAAACGAGAGGAATCTCCACCAAGGACAAGCTTGGTGAAAAAAATCGTATGTTTCCAAGACTAGTGCCACGGGCCTAATGACAGACCAAAAGGAACTTGAACTTCAGCTTTCTTATATAATCCATCCAACAATGAAGAAAAAGATCATTTTCAATACTGATAAATATCCATGAAGACACACAATACTCATGAAGAAGTGGAGAAATATGTTTGGTGTTATATATAGGGACAATTTAATGAAAGTGAATTTATAAAGAAATCTTTAGTAAAGCCTCCAAAAAACTGCATGTTAGTCAGTATATCTGAACTCTTTTCCGGAAAGATAATTCATTCACATCTAAGAGCAACATTTTTCATCATTTTGTTACCATCTGTAATTTCTTGCCTTTCTTTTTTATTGACTTATATAATTAGTTGATATTTAAACTAGATAGTTCATGTTCCAAATCCAATCTCAAATGCAACGATTTAGCGTTTGGTCTTTAATCTTGAGTCTACACAGTATATTTAAATCAATCAAGTTAAAAGTTCGGAATCAACTGGATGTGCGGAAGATTTTAGAGCTAATTTTCTTTTCTTAAAGCAAATGTTTACATTAGATTTTATTATCAAGTTTTAGAGAGATACATGATGTAAAAATCAATTTGTAATTTACTCATAGAAATATTCTAAGAATGGTTTTTTTTTTTCAAAACATCCAATGCACAGATATATACCGGAAGAGATTCATCGGTATGTAACACGCCTCTTCACCGAGGAGCTAGATCGAAGGTACTGCAATAAAAGTTGAATTCCTACAAAGTAGTATAGAATGTGATCGGACTCTTCGTTTTGGATTGCTCTTTGATTTACGCGCTGAAGAACTATTAAGTTGATTTTATTTTCTAACACAAACATGTGACAAACAAATGCCATAGTTATATAAGCACAGTCTCTTGAAATATCGCTTAAAATAAAACTCTATAATTTAACAGCACAAATCATTGTTCACTAGAAATATGATTCTTAGAGTCGGAATATTAAAATTTATACCTATCCGGACACTGCTTTTTTTCATAGTTGTCATGCAACACCTTGTGGAAAAAATTGGATGGCAAATTCAAAATCAAAGCACGTAAAGGATACGTAGAATAATGGAGTCAATTATACATGGAGGTTAGTAAAGTCTAATCCTAGAGTATCACTCACGTGACGGAGACCATGGTGATATCTGTCAGTGCTGTTTGAATATATTCAATATTTGAACAATAAAATCGTAACACCCCACCGCATTGCAGTCTACAGGGTAAACAAATAGTAGTAAAGTACACTGATGGCAAAATCTGAGCGTTATAGAACTCTATAGTATCATAGATACAAATATACTTCTTCTAATTATGTTTCCCATCATATTAACCGTTAATGTTCAAACTTCACTTTGATAAAGCTGAAAGTTCATGGTAAAATATTACTAATATATTTCATGACTTAAATTTTAGTCTAGAAATATATTCAATGGAAGATGGAATCTGGGATGAAGAATCAGATCTTAGTTTGAGCTACAATTCATTCAAAGTCTCCATTTAAAAATGACTGACATTTGATGTTTAATTATGAATGTGTATTGTGGTAAAGTAAGTGGCCGGCACACCTAAATTACTAGTTCTCTTCTCTAGAGATTGAATTCTTGCAAGCTCCATAATAGAATAACCAAGTTACTAAGATTTGTCAGGAAGGAGGCTGAGCAATCCCCATAACTTGTAAGGCGGATAAGAGTAAAACCCCTTTAGCTTGAATTGCATGTCGTCTCGCTGGTGCTGGAATGAATCTAATACCTAGCTGGCTTCATATACACTCACTTCATATAATGAGACACAATTATCACATAAGGCCAACTTCAGAGAACTGCTTCTAGGGTCATATTATGATTGTATAAATTGACTTCATTCGGATGCGTATGTATGACGTTGCATACAACCGACATTACGTGCTTGCGACTTGCAGTTTAAGAATTACAGCCCATAGTTACACCATGGCCATCTACTGTAACTACACTACACCAGTGTCCAATCTCCAATCAGCTTAGACCAGGAATGTTCTAAAACCTCCTCATATCCTCAACTGCATTCTTCCCCAATATTGAGAAGAAGAGTTGGAGAAAGGAAATTAATCATCGCATATGGGTCACCCTCAAGTTTATCTCCAGGATGACCCAAAGTTTATGTAGTGTTGATTTCATGCAATAAATTTCTCTTGTTACTTCCAAATTTTGTTCGTTTGGGTTTTGAAACTCTTAGACCACATACCATGGCGCAGTGCAACCACATCGACTTATGAAAAAATCCCAAAGCA